CTTCGGTCTCAACATCACGGTGGTAGCTCATTTGACCTTCTTTTGGACAAAAATCTTGAAGAAATTAGTATCTGTCCCCGCGAACTGCGTTTCGAAATATAATTATTATCTTTACTAAGCCTACCTTTAGTAGCTACATACTAAATATAATATGGAATATTTTTAAGTTTTTTAGGGTTTTCCAATTTTTCTCTCTATAAAAACATTCTTCAAAGTTCAAAGAATACATATATAAGAAAAAAATCGGATTGTTCCGCAGTCCGCGAGCAGTGTTGGCCTAGTAGCTTTAGCGTGCGACTATCATCACTGAGGTCGTAGGGTCGATCTCCGTGCACGCTCGAACGGTGAAGGAAAACATCGTGAGGAAACCGGCTTGTCCTAGATCCAAAAAGTCGACGGCTTGTGTCAGTCACAGAAGGCTGATCACTAATCACGAATAAAACGATCACAATACTTGCCTATTAGATTGACAAATGATCATGAAACAGATACAGAAATCTGATGGTTGTAGTGCCACCGAATCGTTCCAGCCATCTTCAAGTTTTGCGCTGATTTGACAAAATGATTGTTGTCATTTATTGATAAATTAAAATCACTTGATGTAAAGAATATTATCTTGTCTACATTTCCTTACGTCAAAGGTGGTACACCGAAGGAAAATAAAATTAGATATAAGTTGAACATGCTGTTGCACAATAATTTAACAACTAACAACATACAATTACATTGTGATTTATTTATTTATTTATAAAAGCTTGCCAACGCTTGGCACATTAATACATCAGACAACTGCTAGCTTCTTAAAAGAATGTAGTTATACTTGCAGTAACACTTCATTAAGTTTTAATAATTTAAATTAGATAGTGTGACAATAGAGGCAAACTCTAGCAATAATTTAGTACAACTCAGCTCAACACAAACATGTAATATTACTAACAACAACTGTTTAAACTTGATGCATCAAAACATGCAAGGTATGTTGGGCAAAGAATTAGAATTGGAGTTATTTTTAAAATCAAGTAAAATTGATGTCCTATGCATTACCGAACATTGGCTTAGAGAATGCCAAATCATCTTTAACTTTGATCAGCACCAAGTTGCAAGTTCGTTTTGCAGATTGTCGGCGATTCATGGGGGCTCTTTGATTATTGTTTATAAAAATTTAAAGTATAAAGAGCGTAATGACATCGTGTGTCTGTCTGTAGAACACTTTTTGGAAGTGGCCTGTATAGAGATTGAGAATTGCATTATTTTAAGTGTTTACATACTTCAAGTGCATCTTACGATTGAAGAATGTACCATTGCTACCTTCGCACTTTTGCCATCTTATAGGTAGTTGATTGATCCCTTTACCAAAAATAATTCGAACATCTATCAGGCCGCTAGTTGAACGGCGCTGTTTAGTAAAGAGGCTAGGCTGTTGATTGAACGGCTAACTAAGCTAATTGGTTGCAACTAAAATATTTTCCGTTCTTTGATAGTTTACCGTATCGACGGGATGAACATTCAATGTTAGACAGATCCACCCACGAAGATTTTGTATTGGAATTTTTGTAATTTTTTTTTAAACACGTAAACATAGATGATATATTTAAAATAAACACGATAAATTTGCTTTCACTAAAAGGAGTATGGTGTGACCTCCATACAAATAAGTACCCCAAAGATGTGTTATAGATATAATTTGTTATTCATTTAATATACATAAGAACTGAGCTCGTATTTATGTACTTATTTAACTCGCTCGTACGGTTAAGGAAAACGACGTGAGGAAACCGAAATGTCTTAGCGAAGATCCGTGCAGGGACACAGAGAGGCCCAAAACTATTAAAGGTGGCGCCACTGGTTTTCTTAAATGTCACACAACATAAAGAAAAAGATTCCAAGGGTTACAAAGATATTTTTAAAGATATAAATGAATTAACTCAATTATATTCGTTTATAAATTAAAATAAATATACGATTTGGATTAATTCATTCAATTTTGAAGTCCATCAATCGTCTTTTTAAAATAGTATATCCACGAATGCCCTTTTTGGGCTTCGCAATGCTTCCCCCTATTCAAAAAAATAAAAGAGAGTCAAATCAGTTACTTCGGTTTGTGAGAAGAAATCTCAATATGCGTTTAAAGAATTGGTTTTTTTTTATAATAATACCCATACATGACGAATTTATTCGACACATCCAGATGGTGCTGCTTTACGGCCACACACCACACCGGTTCCCCGAGTAACACGGACTCCCCTTTCATATAGCAGAAATATCCGTATATACCTTACTTCGTCGAAAAACTCTGTTAGCGCGTTTCAGACGGCGCGCTGTGATTGGCTGACGCGGAATATACAATACGAACGCTTTAAATAGGACGATTTGAAACAACTAAAGTATCTATGGACTGGTACGTTTCGTTATTTTGTGTTAATCAGTTTGTTCTATGGTGTGTAAATTTGTTTTAATAGTATTATTATACAAGGCTCAAGTTACCTCCTATGAATACTGCTCACATCTCTGGGCCGGTGTCCTCCAACGTTTTACTGATCGCTTTGATTCTCTCTCTCTCTCTCTATGCAGACACATTGCGTCTCCATGCGTATTCTACAATGTCTACTATGGACAGTGTTCTAAAGACAGCTGGGAAGTATGACATGTTGTACTTAAATGGACCTTAAACAATTTATTTTATTTACACCGTGTTGCCGTAAAAGACACACATTCAGACGTTTTTGATATTTTCCTATCCAATCCACACTCTTTGCACTGAATTCAATATTAAAAATAAACTTAAGAAACATCGTGCAACGAACTTATTGCTACTAAGGGCAAACCTTATTAAAGAAAACATTACAACTTGCCAGCCAGTGGATTATGAAATTTCTGTTTAAATTTATAGAAAATCATTCATACATTTAGGTAACACAATGTACACTTATGAACGTCAGTAAATAAATACATAATATTAAATGCTAAATTCTTCTAATTTTACATTTACTGCCAGTTCTCAAATCAAGGGCGTAGAACGGACGAGACGAACTGGCAATACACTCTCCGTCACTCTTTTTAATCACCAAGATTTTGTTTTACACAATGTTTGTAAGGAACTGCAATAATTACACTATGTTCCACATGAACTGTTTGTTATAAATGCCAGGAGTATCTGTATGTTATATGTAGTTTATGTTAGCAACTACATACAACATACCTGCACTCGCGAGCCCTCTGGCATTGAGAATGTCCTCGGGCTATCACTTCAGATCCGGTAAGCCTCCTGATCGTTTCACCACTGTTATATAAAAATATAAGCAAGATTTAAAAGTACGTAACCAATGACAATAGATAATTGTTTTTTGAGTGTTTAACAGAATTTAAAAGATACTAAAATCTGTGTATATTTGGTTACATTTTTAGTAAAATTACTAAATATGTATATGTATATGAAATCAATTACTATTGAAATAACGAAAGGATCCAAAACACTTGAAAACAAGTAAATTTATGAATTTATATGTCTATTTGGGTCACGAAACAAACTCAATTTTCGGTAAAAATATTTTTGAGGCCTAAGTCAAAAAGGCCAACTTAGCATGGCTACTGTATACTTGTTAGTCACGCAAGCTTGCACACGTGGTTGTCGTATTGCGTGATTTTAGTATTGCGCTTGAATAAAGAGACACTACGTTTATATTAAATTACAATGAAACAGAGCCAGAGATACATATTATCATACCGAAATGATTACAACAACTATAAAAAAGCGAAATTATTTCATCATAATGATAATTTAATCTATTTATTTCAAATATTATACTAACGGCTATAATATATTATATTTACCTATATATAAAAACGCGTAAAATTTTAGAATTATGCTTTGCTTATAACAAATTTAATATTCCTCTAATTCTCATATACAATTATTCCTATAATATTATTAAAAATCTACATAAAATAATTATTATAGCCTATAGTATAGGAATTAGAAACAAATGAATTGACACAATGACAATTAACATTAAAAAACATTAGTCTAAATTCTGGCAGTTAATAACAATTAAAAATATTATGTAAACTATTTCTATTTTATTGTAACGCCATCTAGTAGGATGTGTAAAAACTACTAAGACTTCAAATGTTTTGATTGAAATTGATACATTACAAATTATTGTTACTATAACTACATATTTATAATTACATAAATTTAAAAAATATACTGCTATTTATATTGGTAATACTTGCTTTACTATGTATAGAATGGCAACTATGAATGGCGCATGCGTCAACATTGTCAAAATAATATCCTCATAGTCTGTTAAAATACGATCAAAACAGGTGATAGTGAAATTTGCAAACAGATAAATTGATATTAAACTAATAAGGAAATACGAATTTTCAGTGCCTTTGTCTATGGAATTATGTAAGTAAAATCTTCCCGCGTTTTTTCGGAATATATTACGTTTGTTTTGATTACGTATAAAAACGTGTATTAAATCGATAATTTTTTATTTGAACAAATTAACGATTGTTAAAACATATTGTTAACAAATAGTAATCAAACGAATGTCAATAGTAAACCATCTTTGGATAAAAAATATATTTTAATTATAGGCACTATAAATCTTATTGCAGAACAAGGCTAACTTATAAACGTTATATAATTTTTATTTTAAGTAATATCAGTTCTCTGTTAATTTAAATAATATTATAAAATTTCCTATTAATGTTTTTTTTTTTCAAATAAAATTTTTTTTTAGTTTTTCATTATGATATAATATGCAAAAAAGCAGTGACACTTGACGTTTCTCTGACTTGTTTTCGCGGGAAGATTATTTGATATTATATTATGTTTCTGTGCTACGTTTTTTTACAGATATCTACAGATTTTTATAGAATAAATAATACGCGAACAATTATAAAAATATAAAAATATATTTAATTGCACTTTAAAAAGATCATGCCTGCCTCTAAGTTATTTCAAAATCGCTGTATATTTTTTAGAATTAAACATGGCGAATACCAACTCTAGCGCGGTATTTTTCTTGGGCACCAGGGCTCACTATCAGGTGGGTAATTTAATTATTCATAGCATTATTGTGTGTGTTCTATTTATCTGTTTTTAATTATTATTACGTATTGTAATATCATTTAAATAGGTACGTGTTAGGTGGTGTGACGCTGACGAGTCGCGAGTCAGTTCAACAGTTGTCTCCGGGCCCGGTTGCGCATTAGACGAGTGTTTATTAATAAATAACGGACATGTAATTACTCGTTTGATTAATTTATCATGGCCCATGAGGAGATAACACAATATTGGTGACCCCGACGAACACCGACCCCTCAAAAAATCTTTTCGGTGGTGCAAGTGACTTTGGTGAACTATTCAGTGGACAAATTAAGTGCCAATTTTGATGATGACCAGTACAGTTATCTCAGACTGCCGCCCAGCAGGGGCCACTGCAAATCAAGCCGGAGTTTAGTGATGTGTCGGCCATTTCTGTCACTAGCCGTATCCCCGAATTTTAGACTGACCAGCCAAGAGTATGGTTCATCAGAGCGGAAGCGGTACTAGGTCCTCAAAAGATTGCAGATGAAGCTCAGTTCCAGATTGTTGTGTCAAAACTGGGTAAAGAGGCAGTTAAAAAGCTCTTAAGAGTAGGTTGCTGAATAATTATGAGAAATCGGAGAATTGCCAGATACAAAGACTGATTGGCGAAATGGAGATAGGAGACCAAAAACCGTCGCAACTTCTTCGCCGTATGCGCGATCTAGGACGGGAGAAATACCTGACGATACATTAAGGATTCTGTGGCAGAGCCATCTTACCACTTCTGTGCGAGCCGTGCTAGCCGTATCGGAAACAAAGGATATGGATAATCTGGCCACTGTGGCCGACAAAATCATGGAGGCTTCGCAGCAGCCACAGATTTCTGAGTTTTCCTCGCCTCAACCAATAAGGAGAAACTCACAACAGGTGACGATTTCATCTACGTTCAAAAGTTGCGGGGCATTTTGAACGATTTAAGACTTAATCCCAAGTCTCATAGTAATTCGTCTTTTTTGTTCATTCTGATCTGAAAGACTGACAGAAAAATTTATCTCAAAATAAAAATAAAAATTTAGAGGTGGACTACCCTTAAGTCTTAACATTTAGGGGGATGAAAAATAGATGTTGTCCGATTCTCAGACATACCCAATATGCACACAAAATTTCATGAGAATCGGTGAAGCCGTTTCGGAGGAGTTTTACTACAAACACCGCGACACGAGAATTTTATATATTAGATTACCAAATAAGAATCTAAAGAAGTTAACAATCACGTGGCTTTGGCCCAGGCCCAGGTAACTACGGTGCAAGAGAGTGTAGAAAACAAACTGAATACATTAGGAATTGTATTAATAGTTATCACGGTAATACTTGTCATCGTGGTTCTGTATGGAATAGAAAGATACTGCAGAGCCAAAAATGCAAATTGATTGGGGAGACAAGCGATGCACGTTGCGCAACCGATACACGTGCAACAACTACCCTCTGTTGTATAATTAGTGTAATTGTATTAAAGAAACTTTTATTACATCGTCTCAAACTTTTTCGTCTGTGTGTTGCATGTCGCGTGATGGTCGCGGAGTAGGGATAAAGTGAAAGGCGCTCGTCAAACTCAAACTCAAAATATCTTTATTCAAGTGGGTAACCAAGTACACTTTTGAATTGTCAAGTTAAATTAATTGTAAATTTACATTTACTACCAGTTCGCAAGTCAAGGGCGTAGAGCGGGTAAGAAGAACTGGCAAGAAACTTTCCGCAACTCTTTTTAATCGCCAAGTATTGTCATACAAATTGTTTGAACTGCAGCAAATCAGTCCCAAGGATTAGGATCATTTAAGTATTCCTCAAATTTATAAAACGCTTTGCTGCGTAATTGCCGTTTAACGAGGGCTTTGAATTTATTTAGTGATAATTCTCTAATTTCGTTTGGGAGTTTGTTGTTAAAACGAATACAATTTCCATATAAGGAGTGGTTTATCTTTTGGAGCCTGGTTGGTCGTACACTCAAATTACTTACTGGTGAAAGTCACCATTTGTTTTAAAATCGTTTATATTTTTTTGGACATACAACAAGGCTTCAAGTATATATTGACCAGATAGTGTCATAATATTTAATTCCTTAAACTTATTCCGTACCGACTCCCTCGGAGAAACACAACAAATACCCCGAACAGCCCGCTTCTGCAGCACAAATATGTATTGAACCTCTGCAGCAGCACCCCACTGTAGAATACCGTACGACATAACGCTGTGAAAGTAGCTATGATACACAATTTTAGCCGTGTCCTTATCAGTAAACTGTCGGATTTTCTTTACTGCATATGCTGCAGACCTCAGCCTATTCGAAAGAGTCTCTATGTGCGGGCCCCACTGGAGTTTACTATCTATTGTTATGCCTAGAAAAACAGTTTTGTCAACAAAGTTTAGTTCACTGTCCTTAATTTTCAGGTTACAAATATCTCGCTTTACGCTAGTAGTTATAAATGTAATACATTTTGTTTTATTCTCATTAAGCAGTAAGTTATTTACATTAAACCAGTTAACTATACGAGAGATAGAATTGTTTACATCGTCCAATAATACGTTATTCCTATTCACTTTAAATAGAAGTGAAGTGTCATCAGCAAACAATACCATCTCATGAACTTCGTTTCTTCTTTCCTTCGAGTCATAGCAGCCAAGGCCAATGTGGCGGCGCCTATAGTTCGCAGCAGCTGACCGTGTAGTGTATAGACTATTATTTAATATGTGTATATAATCTAAATAATTGTTATTAATATGTGTATATAATCGAAATAATTGCTAAGTATTATGTATGTCGTACTCTCTAAGACACAGAGTTCAATAAAAATATTAGTTGGAGACTTAGTCTACTTTTATTATTTCCCATTATCATTCCAATTTTCCAAGTATAAAATTAAGATTGACAAAGCGATTTTTATACCCTTAATGGAATATTATTCCAAATTTTTTTAGTTAAATGTATATAATGTGAAAAAAAGTTTCACTTTTGCCGTGGTTTCATAAAACCACACAATCCTTCTTTTTATGTGTAATGTTTATTAATTAATAAATGTAATGTGTAAACAGGAAATTTAAAAAAAAATGTTTATTATGTAATATGTGTAATGTGTAAACAAAAAATATTAAATATCATGTAAAAGTTTTTTTTAAGGAGGGGGATGTTGTGGGGACAGCTGTCGACGTGTGCAAACTGCAAATGACGAGTCGCGCGTCAGTTGTTTCCGGTATGCATGTGTCGTTCGCTCGATCTGAAAGATCTGAATCAATACTGAGCCATTGACAAAAAGATCTGGTTCGTTCGACCCGTTCAATCGAACGACTGATTCAATTTCAAACGAACTGAAGGATATTTCTAACTGTTGTAAAACAACTTCGGTTCAGACTTCAGAGCGAACAACACGTGCACGTGTACGTGGTTCTCCCTCCAGGATGAGACTGAGCTCAAGTTACTAATACTGCTATTGTATATTAATAAATATTTTCCAGGTCTTAGACCCAGAGACTTACGACAGTGGAAACACTTCCACAGAGACGTTGTGTCAAAATGATGAACAGCTGTGGAAAGACCAGGAAAACGAGAGCCCCAATTGTAATCAATCCGGGTGGTGCTACGGGTCTGATATAAATGGTAAGTCAATATTTTTGTTCGATGTTTTTATGTGAATAAATAAATTTACAAAAATACACCTTGGTTAGGGTTAAGGTTGGGTTAAAAGAATAAAAGAACAGTACATCTTCCTCACTCCAAAAGTATCCGCCAACTGCCAAAAATTAGATTCCTTTTTAAATAAAAAAACGTGTGTGCTTATGTACATGCGTTAGAAGTTATGATTCTTTGGCGTAACATAAAAATCTTTATAAAAATTTTATTCTATGTTTGTAGAAACCACTACACTAACAATAGAAAAAAACTAAAATGTTGTCTATAGCTAACTTCAGGGTGTAGGTATTTTGTGACCGTGCGCGCATCGTTAAAATTTATTCTCATCATTTTTCCCTAACGCGCCAAAAGAATAACTTCAAAAACTTATTCTTCTAAGCCCCTCCTTCGTAATAAATATGAAGTAGAAACCTTAAGGCCTCTATTTTACAGTGAACTTCGACACAGGCGTGAAGAAAAGATTGAACAGACATGATGAAGCGGTTTCTGACATAAAACCTGCTCTTTTGAATATGTCACAAGAGAGGTAAGTTTTCTTTTATTTGCTTAATATAATTTTCTTTTCTTAGTATCTTAGTTACTAGAACTAAAAGTCTTCTATACGGTGTTTATCTGTTACTTTTAATTATTCAGGTCCTTGCCGGTACAAAAAATTAGACATAGACATAGCATTTATTCCTAACAAAAACACACACATATAAAGACACATAATTTTTTTTTCCCTTTTCCCATTCTGTTCGTTTTAAGTATGTAATGCGCGTGTGCTGAGGTTGTAATTGGCCCTGGCTCAGCATTATGCTGAGGAGCAGACTGTTCCACAGAGCTGGTCATTCTGCCAGAGACCACAGCAGTTAGTTTTTGCCTCACACGAAATTGTGAGAACGTCACAAAAAAAGAAAGAAATGTAATAATACTCAGTAGGAAATAATAATAATAATAAGAATAAGAATAATAATAATAATAATAATAATAATAATAATAATAATAATAATAATAATAATAATAATAATAATAATAATAATAATAAAGTAATGAAGTCTTGTGTAAAGTTTTATAGTAAATTAAATTAAAAGTTAAAAATAAGAATAATTGTTTTTTTTTTGGGCGGATTAAATACTAATATTAATGGAAATATTAATATATTTTACAACAATCTTCCTATTTTGTGTGTAAGAGTGTCTTGAAGTTCAAATAAATGAAACTCTTTGTTTGAAGTTGGGTGTCAACTTTAATCGTTTAAAACAGTGATTCCCAAAGTGGTCTATATCGGCCCCTAGGGGTCTATGACAACCTGCAAGGGGTCTACGTCAGCGAAAAAAAAATTTGGGGGTCCATTAAATGAAAATGGGGGTCCACGATAGTGGATCTCAACACATACACTGATAGAGGAAAACAGACATCGCCTATTTAACAGATTTGTGTACAAAATTTAATATGGTTAATTTGCAATTACAAGGCGACAGTTTAAATTTGATTAAAACAAAGACCATCTTATCAGCGTTTCTTGCCAGAGTTAAACTAATATTACTATATAACTATGAAGCAAAATATTGGACGGGGCGAATTCTCTCAGTTGGGGAACTTGTTACTTTAAGTTTTTAACACTAAACTTCACTACAGTTAGAAATTTACAGGAAATCAATATCAGGTAAGTGAGGGTCTACCCAACACGGAAAAACATGGCAAGGGGTCTACGACACAAAGTTTGGGGAACTCTGGTTTAAAACATGGGCTTATAACTAATGACTAACTTGACTTATTTAAGGGTTCTTAAATGTAAGTAACTGTTAACTGTAAAGAATAGAAAAGAATAGAATATAAGTGTAATCGTAATCTGTTTACTTTGGCTTCAAATGTGCGATTGCTATTTGGTTTGAGCTTTAATTATAAATTAAAATAGATATAAACTCTTGTTAGAAATTTTTATGTCTAATATAATCTATATGTATGTGTGTAAAATTTGTTGAGGCATATTTTCTTGTATATTTTATACATATATGTTGTTTTAGGACTAATAAATAAATAAAAAATAAAAAGTACAGAAAACACAAAAAAATACAATTTATACAATAATGAAACGAAAATATAACAACAGAGAGAAAAACGTATTAGACCTTATAAATAACATTAAGGAATTCAATATTATGACACTATCTGGTTAAAACATAGCGATTAGAAAGAGTGGTAGAGAGTTTCTTGCCAGTTTTCTTGCTTTTACGCCCTCGACTTGCGAACTGGTAGTAAATGTAAATTTAGAATCGATTTAACATATTTTCTGTTGGAGTTCATAAGTGTATTGAATAAAGTTATTTTTAGTTTATGGAGCCAAGAATCCACATCCCAAATTTATGGGGAGTTAAGATGTCTTGGGATGAGCAGTGTTGGCCTAGTAGTCCGGGAGGTAGCGTTGCATTTTAGGCAGTGATTTTACGCCGACTATTTTCCTTCTTTCACTATTTATCTCGAAATACTTATAACTGAACCAAGCGTCAGCTGGCGCACCTGCGGTGGGTTTGGAATTGGGAGGTTGCGAAAGAAGTAAAAAAAAATCGTCAGCTGCATCGTGAAGGGGGGGATTATGCTTCAGCTGCTCGCATGAACTTGTAATTAAATCACGTGAAATAAAGTCATTGTACGCCGGATGAAATTGGACTACGTGATCGTTTAAATAATTCAAAGTACGAAAATAACAATCAGCTGCGTGTATAGCGGTGGAAAGACCGTCGCAGTAAAGCTGACGCAGTAAAGGTAAAGGTTATTCTAGAAATGCACAGAATCTTTCTCGATATATTTTTGTCTCGTTTTATTCGTAACAAAATGCACGCTATACAAAATCGAAATATAGAAATAAAAAAGATCGCAAAAGTTATTCGTTGTCGATGGTATCGCTATCATCATCGTTGTCTGACGAATCATCGGCCGAACTGTCCTGCAGGACATCGTTCTCTTCGTCTTGATCGAGTTCTTGACCTCGATTCTCTTCACCGTCATCTGTAAATAACCATGTAAATTATCAAAATTAGGCTACTAGAAAGCTCAAAGAAAGTGTCACCGACAAAAATTCCATACCGCCAATATTTTCGCTGCTATCCGTTATACTGGTGCGCTATGTATGACGTGCGCAGTAAATGCTGGCGTAGCTCGGATTTACATGGTGGGAAGATCGCCCCGTCGATATGGCTTTTCCACTTGAGCACGTCGTTTTTCTCATTGCTTTGATAATTTTTTTTTTTAATAACAAAACATAACTATAATGCGCTTATTGTGCAAGTCTTCTAAGATAGTATTCACGTGTGTGGTTTAATTTTACGCTTTGGATTTTAGTTAACATTAGTTACGAGCTCAGCGCTAAAATCAAAAGAACCGCCGTGAGTTTGTTTGAATGAATTATGAACGTAACCCGATACCCGATGCGTTGCGTGCGACGCAAGCGGGTTGTATGTTGTGTGTGGGGGGTCGGCGCGGCCCCGAATGCTGCTTTGAAATTTTAGGGGGAGAGGTTTAGGTAGCCCGAAGGTCGTGCTATGGGTTCAAGCAAGGCCAGAATGTATCGCAAAATATGTGTTTGAAAGCGAACAGCCTGACAGCAATGCTCCAAAATTTTAAATCTTGACTGGGTCAGCTGACGGTCTTTCCACCGCTACATAAACAGCTGATTGTTGTTTTCGTACTCTATATTATTTGTAGAATCACGGAGTTAAATTTCATTCGGCGTATTATAACTTTATTTTACGTTTTTTTTCACAAGTGCATGCGGGCAGCTGACGCATAATCCCCCCTCCACGATGCAGCTGATGATTTTTTTTTTGCTCAGTATGTCATCAACTATTCATGGAACAAGTTTCAGCCAGCGTACTATTAATTTATTTTTTTATTTTTTTTACCTCCTACACCCGCTACTTGAGCAGCTGACGGTCGGTTCACTTATTAGTCATATAAGATCAACTATCGATGTTAATATCAGCCGGCTTACTATGACTTTCTCATTTGCAACGCTACCTCCCGGACTATAGTGGCTTCAGCGTGCCCCCCCCCCCCCCTGAGGTCGTAAGGTCGATCTCCGTGCAACAATGGACTTTCTTTCTGTGTGCGCATTTAACATTTGCTCGAACGGTGATGGAAAACATCGTGAGGAAACCGAAATGACTTAGACCCAAAAAGCCAACGGCGTGTGTGGAACTCAGGACGCTGATCACTCACTTGCCTATTGGATTGACAAATGATCATGAAATAGATTCAGAAATCTGAGGCCTAGACCTAAAAGGCTGTAGCGCCACTGATTATTATTAAGATGTTCTTTACAAAATTTATTTAGGGCGTATATTATACGAGATTTCTTTTCTCTACGAAAACGCACGATTCTGTTTATATATCACCCAACCAACAAACTTGACCAATATAAACTGTGTGAAACTATATGAAATATCAAATATGAAATGAATTTCGTTTTGAGATGCATATTTAATATAACGTCTCAAACAGAGTGCCCAACTTTAAGTTTTTACTTAAAGTTAGCATCACTGGGGTTAATGGGTTCAAAAAGCTGACCAGTTAAGTGACACCGCCCATGGAATGCGTTGAATTGCGTTGTCGGTCTTTTAAAAATTTGTACTGTAAGTCGAATTGGTTCAAAAAAAATTCAGGACGAATTTAATTGTTTTTTAATTAATCAAAAAATTTAATTAATCGCATTGTCAATTTCCAGTGATCTTGAGAAAGACAAACCACGTCGCAAGTTCCTCTCTTTTCTCTCATCTCTTACATGGCGTAAGAGACGGAGTAACGTGCAGTACCTGCAGCACCTGGAGAACGTTCTGACCACCTGTACCTATAGAGAGAGTTGCAGGTGCCTGGATTGTCAGGTAAGTTGAAAATATACGACGTAATTATTTTTACTGAATTTTTATGTATTTTTTATTAAAATCGTGGCATGCATATACACCGTTTACGACGACATCGTTTAAAATAACATACCGGTTATATTGACCAAAATCAAAGGTCCCGGCTGAATTCTATTGTATTTGGTACTTTATAACAATGTCATCTGTTCGGTCTATCGGTTTTTACGACAAATATGAGAAGTCCCTTCGATGTCGTTATAACAGATTTTGACAGTACATACGAGTAGGAATAATATGTAATATCTCGATCTGACGTTGTGATCGAGAACTTTGTGGACACACACACAAACAAAAATAAATCGTACTCCAAATATTTTATTTCAAGCTCACTCATAAATTTTTTGTAGATTGTTTAAAATAATTTAGAATTAAAAATCTATTTTATTAAAAAAAAATACTTTATTTTGATTACGATGTTATATTTTATTGTATTTTAAAATATTCGCCCAGATTTTTTAAATTTATTTCTCGCCCTCTCAATAACGTGCTTTTGAACCCGTGAAAAACATGGTAAGGAAACCGGCCACAGAACCGAGAGCCAGGGACAAAAGGCTGATCACCTACTTGCCTTTTAGAAAGATTAAGATACAGAAATTTAAAGGCAGAACCAAGAGTTGGAACGCCCGTTTGTTTTTAAATGTTAGAGATACATAATTATTAATTGAATCATCTCATGTACAACGAAGTGTTTTATTAACACAAACAAAGCGAGCGAGTGTTTCATCACCGAGGTCGTATAGAACATTTAACAATCGCTCGAACGGTGAAGGAACCGGCTTGCCTTATACCCAAAAAGTCGATGGCGTGTGTCAGGCACAGAAGGCCGATCACCTACTTGCCTATTAGATTGACAAATGATCATGAAACAGATACAGAAATCTGAGACCTAAAAAGTAGCACCAGTCACCACTAGTTTGTTTTAATTAATAAATAAAACACATAATATTCTTCATGTTTAATATTTGTCCAATAGCAATAACTTATTGTCAAATTGTATATACAAAGAAAAATCATTAAGTTTACTGCTTTTAAAGTGTTAGTATATTGTTATTTAAGACACGATTATGATAGTACATAATGTATCACCAAAATCAAGCTAAACAAAGTCCCATTCAAACATTTAAATTAAAATGTATGTTAGTCAAATAATGTTACATTTATAAAAGCGTTTATTACACTAAATTTAATGTGGCACTTTGCATCAATTGATTACATCTCAAGTGCTTATCACCTTGGTCAGCAAGGGGCTGCCAAAATGAAGGCATTTCAACACTATTACCCCACAAATAAATCAGATATATTACAATAGTCTTATCAAAGTGCGTGAATGCATTAGGCTTAAAAACAAACACAGCTTATGCTAACAGCACCAATCACTAAAGCATGTTTGAATTCAAAAGACAAAATTATGCAGAAATATATCATATGAGAAACATTCGACCACATTGCCTTCTTTATATTGCTTTGTAAATACTTAGACATCTTATACAACTTTCTTGAAATTTTTATTAAACAGTAAGAAGATAAAAATGTCTGTTAGATGAATTGAATTGAAGTATTATTATTCAAATTCTAATCAAAAATACAATTTCGTTCTCTTAAAATGTTTATAAAGTGTAATTGTTAATTTTTGTGTCCCAATGTTACAAAAACAAGTCCTTGAACTAGACAAACTATTTTGAAATATTAGATATGTAAATTAAAATGAGTTAATTGGTGATGACTGATAAACTACATAATAATTATTTCTACATTTATAACAATAAATTTAACAAATGAGGTAGCCAAATCCAAAATAATCAATATTTATGAATCAAAACTGAATTGTTAATTTATTAGTCATAATTGATATAACTACTGAACAAACTTATCAATATCATACTCCAAATTTGCATCAACATCGTCTGCTACATGTTTCTTCCTTTCATCAATACGTACGCATTTCAAGCATTTCTGAGCTTTACGAAGCCAACAAACCTGATGGTACATCGAGTTGCATCTATCACACATTATTGCTCCACTATCAAAGGGATATATAACCTCATTATTGCTGCACACTTCACATAAATAACCTTTACCGGAACATAATGGACACTTTGTTATATGAGCTCTACAGATCTCTGTCAACTCAGTCAGCTGTGTTTCTAAACTTCCATCATTGATTGCTTGTAAGTGGGACATACTATACTTTTTATTCACATCTCCAAGTTGTACAAATAGTGGTGACAGGAGACTTGTACCTTCAGGACAAGCACATAAATATCTCTTCATCCATTCTAGGTCTTTGCGCATTTTGTGCACCCATTCCAGTTCAGCTATGAAGCTAAACAATTTGCAATTAACATTCTCAACATCTACATATGGCCGCGTCCAAGATATAGACAGCATTTGATAAGCAATCCGAGATACACTTCGCTTGTCCCAATCCCAATTATGTATAACTCTTGCAGGTATAGCCAATAGATCATTCCAATGACATGTAGTACAAAAATACAAGCCTGTGTAGTCACACAATCTAGGCTCATTCCACGAGTCTTTAAATGTAAGTGTTGTTTGGCACTCAGCACACTTATAATCTTGGGCGGCGAGTCCCTTTTCCGGGCAAATATGCATTTCAAACTGCCCCTTTTCTGTCATAACAACATGGGCACACACTCTACATACATCATCAACACATTTATAATGGCACACATATCCACAGTCAGTGCATATGTAAGAGCTTTGAACTATACTCCAAATAACACCACTACAATGATCACAGTACTGTTTTCTATTGCTTATATTCGTTTGTTGCTCAAAATGGTGTCCTTTAATTGTTACTTTGCTTCTTATTTGTCCATCTGAGTCTTTTAAGTCCTCAAGTCGTAATCTTAGTTCAACTAAATATCGGACTAACCATTTACGTTCATCGGAGCACTGGGGGCTGCTTAAAACAAGCTCTTTGCATTGGATTATCGCCTTTTCGATCTCTTCGCGCGTCGCTGTACTGTGGATTTTAAGTTTTTTGTTTGCTATTGATTTTGGAATGTAATTGGAGTCGATGCTCTCGTCTGCCGATACACAACCGGACGTGGAAGATGATGATATTGATTCCTCCACACTCCGAGGGCTGCAGCATATCAGACTGTTCCGATATTTTGGCGAATCGTTAGCCAAGGCTGCTGCCATGATTGATGGCTTTATAATAAAACACTAAACACTTAATGTAATGCGTCAATTTACATAACGGACATTAGGTAAACAACTGCGTCGTAACATATTTCTTTGTTTGTAACAAATACAGGATGACTGACTAATTCAATGTATCATTAATTACATGGTATTTTTTTTGGTCGAATCGAAATGATGTTGACAGCAAGAAATGTTAAATCCGTCAAGGCCATTTGTCAATGTCACAGGCGTTTCGTTCCTCGCAAGCCTGATTTGATAAAACTAATAGAAATAAATTTATAATTGAAACATTTTTCGTGAATAAAGTGATTGTTTCGTGATGGTGATGAAAACAAGAAACTTGTCAATTATCCTTCGCACTGAAGTCCGGGTTCTTTAAAATACCATATGTAGCGGCTACCGCCTATGAGATGTAAACTTTTCTATGGACAATATTTTGATTTTTTTTAATAGTTCCTTGTATATCATACTGATCAGCTCAATAGCAAATTGGCTATAGCACAATACAGTGGTCTCAAGTTCGTTTTCCGGGGATAAAATTTTCATAAAATACATTTTGCTAAATTGGAACCGACAACTGATCAAAAATAATGTTCCTCAAACTACCGAATCTTTGTAGGCCTTAGATTTATGTATCTTTTTTTGTTTAAATAAAAAATGGGTTACGATACGATCCTGCTTGGAAGAATTTTCTTTTGAAGTCGGACTAAAAGGAGATTTTTTTAGAGTCGCTACTTCGAATATGACAGCGAACCCGAAGATGTATCCGAAGACGACTATGAGTATTCGTACTCAGTTCAAGAACAATCTCAGGTCATGGCTGATGATGACTCCAATGAAGAGGTGAGTTTTAAAAGATAACATCTGTACAATGATGTCACATCCTGAGTCTCTATCAAAGTGCGTATAAAGAAAAAAAATTTGATTACATCACTGGCCTCAGATTGTTGTTTTATTAAATTCCTTCGAACCAGCTGGAGTAAAAAAAAATATTACATTAAAACACTTCGAATCGGATTGGGAATTTTGCATGGTAATGGGAAACGTTCCATCGGATTCGAATATTTTCAATCCGATTTGGATAGATTCGCAAATCATCATTTTGATTCGCAAATAGTCAATCCGATCCACAAATATTCAACCAGATTCGCAAATTTTCAAACCGATTTGCAAATATTCAATCCGGTTCGCAAATATTGAATTGGAATCGCATATATTCAATCCGATTCGCAAATATTCTATCAGAATTGAGATTTTAAAGTAGGTACTTAATTTTTGTTCTTTTTTTCTTATACCTCGGAAAAGTCTATTCGCCCACAAGATAGGAAGGTCCTTATTATGCGGCCAGCTTCTATAAGTCAGTGTAATAATTGTTTTTAATAATAAATTATTATTATTATTCGAATTGCAAATATTTAATGATGAATGAAAAACTATTACTGAAGTAATTATAGGATTATTGTAAACTTAGTTTTTAAAAGTTCTTGAACCTAATAATTAATCAATTACCTGAAATAAATATAAAACCTTCAGAGTTTATTTGAAAACAATTACTTTAACAAATTCCTAATTAAAATCCGAAAATATTCTAACTCAAGTTATAATTCTCAATCTTACACACAACAGATAATTAACAATTACGAATAAATATTTATTTTTTCAATTTTAACCTACCTACCTACGTACCTCGGAAGAGCCGTAGGCCCAAAAGAATGTCTTATAATTATTATTTACGAATATATTCGAGTTTTTTTTCAGCTTTTTTTATCATACAACGAGGATAACACGTCCACAGATTTACTCATAGACGATCCAGAGACAATGACGACGGTGTCAAGTTCGAGTGAAGAGCCCGAGGAGAAGCGAACCGAACTGGAAGTGGCTGCAAGCACTTCCGCCGTTCTAAATGTTTTATTATTTCATCCTGCTTGTATTGTGCAATAAATTTGATTTTGTGTTTCTTTCTTCTGAGACTTAGGGGCAAGTGTTATGCGGCGGCATAGCGCGGTTTTCGGCCGAAAGAAATGTTGCCTCATATATTTCAATGTATATTATACATTACATAGATTCTAGAGAACTTTTCAGCATGAACAGTCGTCATTTTGCATTATACATGTGAGGTTTTAAAATAAAAAAAACCTTGAATTGTTAATCATTCTAGCTGGTTATAAAATATAGAGAATCCCCGCAAGTTAAAATATATATACCTAGTATTGTCAGCAGTCGCTACAAAATTTTCAACGAAAATAATTAAAACCATTGAATTGTCAGTCTTTCTGGCTGTTTATATAATATGGAGAATCCCGCAAGTCAGAGCGTTGCCATCAGTCTCTACAAAATATATAAAGAAGGGATTCACAAATCGTCACGAATTTGACACTGTACTAACATTTTAATTATTGAGAAATATGGCCGCCTCCACGCTACGCCTCTTAGTAAAGCTATTCTCTATAATGCTGAATATTTTCTACTTGTAATGGAAGGTGACCTTACAGAACTTGTAAGGCACCAGTATCTAAGGGTATTCTGTAAACTTGGGAAGATATAAATTGTATTATTATAGTGACTCGTATGTCAAAATATGATAATGTCATAATCCATATTTTTGACATACGAGAAAAGACTTAAGTATTATTATTATATAATTATCCGGTATTAAGTATACAATAATGTCTGACAACTAGAGCGTATATTTTCAAGTTTAGATGGCAGAAAATATTGCGGATTGTGACGCATCACGCACTCAATTGCGCCTGTGAAGCATTGTATAAATTTGTTGCTACAAAATAAGTATTATTATAGAGCTGCTAATAGTGAAATAATAAAATTATAGAGTTTTCGATGGTATGTTAGAGTTTAACTATAATACGGGACTGTTTTGTCGTGTCCGTTTCAATATATTGTAGGAACTGGTCTGAACGACGCCCTTGGATCGGTCGTGGTGACTTCGAAATGTTCTTATACTATAGTTCAAATCAAAGGATCGTGTAAACTATATTATAATAAATAAGAAAATTTCGATATTTATAAACTATAGCTATAAAGATATTGAAGTTATACTTCTTTTGGCGCGTTAGGCAAAAATAACTCAAAAAAAACCGACACCCTGAACTAAGTCAACAATAATGCGTTATAATAAAACTTTCAATGTATTAAATACCTTTTTTCTATTGTTAGTGTCGTTTTGTCTACAAACGTAGAATAAGGCGAAAGATAAAAAAAATTAAAAAGATTTTTATCCTGTTACGCCAAAGAAGTATTAACTTCTAACACGTGTACATAATACACACACATTTTTGAAGTTATACTTCTTTAGGCGCGTTATGAAAAATTGATGAGAGTGAAATTTTACGATTGCGCGCGCACCCTGACACAAAATTTCTAGTATGAAGTTTTTAAACCAGCCGGGCGCCGAGCGTGCGCGAGCGAGATGGGAATAAGACAATCTACAAGTAAAAAGAAATAGAATATGCGTGAATTTAGCAGCTATGCCAAGAATTTTGAATGACCATAATGACATTTACCTTTTAAACAAATAATTTTTTATTATACAAGTGCGAATTTTATATGTGCGTCTGAATTATAATCAGAAGTGATTTAAATTGAATATTTAAATCAATACTAATTAATATTTGTGAAAAAACTGTGCTCATCAACCTGCTTCAATACAATTGAGGTTAACTATCCGTATGTATTATTTATTATCGAGTATTATTTTTGAGTAAAACTGAAACATGAACGGTTATTCATTGCTTTTGTTTATTGCGTTTGTTACAGCAACTTTTTAGAAATATTCTACGACCCTATATACTAATAAGGAGAAAATGAAGGCTTGGAGCGATATAACAGAGTAGTAAACATTTTAATAAGTACCTGCATCTCAAAAAAATGACCACATTGCTTAATCAAAACATGTAATTTTTCAGATTTGATCTAGCAAATATAAGGATAAGAGACAAAAAACAATTGATGAATCAGAGGAAGTGCACTAAATTGAAGTATATGTATAAAAAAAGAGTTGTCGTCTTATCGCCGTGAAACATCAAAAACTATTTTTAATAATGCAAAAAAAGTATAACTTCTTACGCGTGTACATAAGTACACGCACCCTTTTTTTTAATATTCGACGCTTACAAGGGCCGATTTAGTAGTCAAGGAAAGGGGGTCCCAAAACAACACCGTACGAGCCGTATTTCAAAATTTGATCAGCATCACCTTGGCTGGAAGTCTTCCACGGTCTGCGTCACGAGACTCTTTCTTTTGTCAGCGATCTGTGGAATTGACTCCCGGTCGGGGTTTTCCCTGGGAGATACGACCTCCAATTCTTTAACAATAAGCATACTCCTTCCTCAAAGCCGGCAACGGATCCACTAAACTATGAAATATTAAAAAAAAACTCAATGGCGAAACGGGTCCCTCATGGTCAGCTTGTGCTTTATGAATTTATTTATTATTATTAAATATAAGTAATTTTAAATCGAGGCAAACTAAAAAGGTGTTTCCAGTTTCACTATATTGATGGCGATACGAGGCTGACTATTGACAGTATTAAAGCGCTTAAATATTAAACTATTTTGTTTTTTCGAGAAATATATGTAAATGTTTATATTTAATAAACAATTTATTGAAACTGTTATCACGTCTCAAATATCCTGAATAAATGTAAAACAAAAATTTCATACATTAATTATTTATCTTTTATCTCAATAGAAATTTTAATTGTAAAATGTTTTTAATTGTAGGAATTTATAAGTTATGCATACCATGTATATATTTGTTATAATAAACTAACTTCGTTTCATTAAATTGTTATTCGTAAAATGGAACGACGCGCCACGTGTCTATGAAATATGAATGGATAATAATTGATCGACTCCTTGGACGTTTAATTATCAGGTTAAATTATTATACTATGTTCACCAGCCTGAGCTTTTTGAATAAGTTAAGAAATTAAATGCTTTAGATAATATAACTAATTATTATGTAAAACGAAATTCCTGTATGTATTGCAAATTGATAATGCGATGGAACCTTGTCACATAAAAACATAATTGACTAATTCGAGTATTTTATTTATACCTTTAAATCTGAAGGTTTTATGGACAGAAAATTGAAAAATACCTATATACAATTAATTATTAATAAATGAAATTTAGTCAAACTATTTATTAAAAGTGCAAACATTTGTGAAACTATATTACTTTCCAAGATACTTCAAAGGAAAAGAATCATTAAGAATTTGTGGAGAAAGAAGGAACATCGACCAGTCTTATTCTTCGATAGCGCGTTTTAAGGTGTCGTCATCATAGTGATTAAAGCATCCGATTGTAGGTGTCGCTTTTAATTTGTTTAGGTTACATACAGGATTTTTGTTAAACTAAAATCTCCACGAGTTCACAATTTAATATACTTACCGCAATTGTACGGGTCAAAAAATAAAACGAAATACGAAATTAACTCTTTTATTGACATAATTTCCAAAATAAAACTAAATCAGGGCGTTACGCCTACGGCATATTAACTATAATCCTAAAGATACATTTAGATTACAAAGTTAGATCAAGGTTCACCTGTCATCCATCAACTTAACGTCAACTATTCGTATGTCAATACGGTATGTCTTATGATTTATGACAGCTTGGTAGTTCAAGCTATCAAAAAAGCTGCAAAACATAGTTCGTACAAAGATTTCGCAGGAAATGACGTCATTAAGGATTTAGGGTGCAATTCGGAGTCGAAACACCAACCTTACCTTGACCATTAAGTAAAAAAAAGTATCTTAAAATTGTCTATGTTATTGTGAATAAATTATTGTTTTTACATAAATTACTAAACAGGCTCCATCAAATATTCCTCATTGCCACCAGAAACAAAAATCATTATAGGTAACGATTATGTTGTAGTTTTAATTTTACAATAAAATTCTACTGTCATAAGCCGTATGTTGAAAAAAATTGCTGTTTCAACTAAACATTAAACATAATTTTCCTTGCCTCAGATGAAGAAGCAGCGCCCACTATATTTTTTACTCTACACCTCCATACTTCAATCAGATTAACTTTAGTTAAAAATAACTTATATATTATTATACGCTTATGTTGTTAATTCACCAGATAAAACACCTCAAGGCACAATACTAAGAGGAAACGAAAGGAACTCTGCAAATTTTATCGGATCAAAACGAAAATTATGCTAAAAGTGTGTCAAAGTCGATCGCTACTAACGCACAATCGACAAAAAACACAATAATCGACAAATACATTAATATTAACCATGTCAATCGACAAAAATGTCATGTCGACGGAAATCCATGTCGATATGTCGATGATACACAACTAAAAATTCAGCATTTTTAAAATAATATTATAGCTGTGGGGTATATTATTATTTCTAATAACATACCCCACTCAGGGTATAGGACTTTCTTTAAATCATTCTCTTAGGGCCTTCTGCCTAATCCAACAGTTATTTCTAAAATCCTAACCACTGAGCCAGCAGTAATTTAAACTAATAAATCATACATTATATTCTAAGTCCTATACATAAGTTTTAATCCGATAAAATTAACATTAGCTTAATTAAACCAGCGTGAGTTTGACAAGGTTCGAAACGCAACCCCCGTGATTTCTATGAACACTCAGCACAAAACTTATTTTTTTAAATTTATAAACTCAAATTTCAGATGTCAACTGTCATTATAACATTTAGTAACTATTATTTTTTATTCGCTGGTAGATAAATAGACAGTCTTCACCTGACAGATGTCAACTGTCATTGTCGAATTGTAAAGGTCATTCAACGCATCGTTCGCAATTTCTTTAACATTAATTTTCATAACACAAGGAAGTTTTATATGGACATATAAGATTTTCCAAACATTACAAATACTTCAAATATTTTTAATCGTAAGTGCTGGTAATTTTAATTTTAGAAAATGCCCATTGATTAAACAGCTCCCACATTAACTTTAAGTGTTTTTACCGATAAATCGTGGGCTTTAATTACCAGAATTCTTAATATATAAAAATCGTGTCAACTATTCAGAGTAATCCCAGATCAACTAATTAAATGACTGACAACATCTTGTCTTCGAGGAATTTAAACCCAAAAAATTTAGAGATGTTCGATTCGTTTCGCCTTACGAAAGATTCAGTATAAATGCCGCTGCCAAAGGTTGCAGATGTTCAGAGACATCGGAACTTGGTACAAAAACGTCTGGTTCAGTCAAAGCTACATTTTAGATTAATCTAACTAATCTAGCATTAAAAGTGAAATTGTGCTTTACAGGTACGAGCATGTTCGTTTCAGTTCGTTTTGATTTTAGTTTGCAATTTGATAAAAGTCATCATTAATTTGTGCCATTTTTACCAAATGATTTTTACTTTTTTGCTGATATAGACACTTACATTGCCAGAGGGCTCGTAAGTGCGTTGCCGGCCTTTTAAAAATTGATATGGTTTAGCTTTTGCATTGCTTGACCCTAATTTGAATTTACAGAGTAGCGTGGGGCTCAGATGCATCAATCAAGACTTCCTTTTAATTGCATTTGACATTTTAATTTTTAACCAAAATAGGTTTTCTTTAGTATAAATTTGTTGCACAAATTAATAACATTATGTAGACTTAATTTAATGATTATAAGTAAAAAGTCAGTGAACCTTAAATTTAGTGAAGTTAATTTAATTACAAATCCATTCATAATCTTATAATTTAAAATGACAAAATGTTAAATATGTATTAAAGTTTAAGTTATTATATTTGTGACTAAGTTAAAATTAAACTATATTATGTCGACAGTGGTGCAAATTTTCATATACATCTTTATGTAACAACAGTTGCTAAGAAAAACTCAAAATGTATTGAAATATACTTGATTTGTTATACCTTACGATATTTAGCGGTTAATTTAACAAAAAAATTCTCGGAGCATAAAACATTCATTTATAATATTTGACTATAATCTTTGGAATGGTGTTTGATTAGACTACCTTACTCAATTTGATGCCTCAAGTCCGATTAAAATTAATATTTTTATAATGCTTTATAACCTATTTTAGATTTGTGAAAATAACACAAAAATGTGAATTTAATTTTACCTGAATGGAGTATTTCATATAAAATAATCAGCACCACTACCATAAGATATGGGCAGACAGCGCAAAAGCCAACCCACTTCTCAGTTGACGACTCAACTCAATTTATTCCAAGTGGCGCACGTAGCATGTCACTTAACAATTATATTATTTTTCTATTATATAAGATAAGGCTAATATTGTACACTTATAAACCAAATTTCAACTGTTGGAATGAGTTAGCACAAACCCATATCTAAAAACAACTAAATTTATGTCACTAAATTTAATTTGAAATAAGACTAAATTTAATTTGAACTATTGGAAATAAATTTAATTATGAGCAAAACTTGAAATGAACCAAATGATTTGAGATCTTATGCCCGCATTCCACTGAAAATTAAACCATTAGAGTTCCCGAACCATTTTTCCTATTCTAAATTTGACATTGCTCAAGCTAAAATTAGCTTTGGAATACGGGCCATAAAGTACAACACAACCCTAACACTTAAGTGATAATAAAAAGATTTTGTGAATTAAAACATTGATACACTTAATTTTATATGCACCAGTACTTTAAACATTTTGGGAACACAAACATTAAAAGAGTAAGTGTACTCTACACATTCTTGCCCATTCTTCTCCACACGAAATTACCTTTTGGAAGGGGCAACTAGAGCCATTTTGAACTTATAATTTTGACTTTTAAATAGGCCCAATTGAAATAAATGATTTGATTGCCAAGATCAAAGAAATCATACAATTAATTTTCACTAAGCTGAAATTATTAATGTCGGACGTCCCAAAATTAAAATGTCTATATGAAAATATTTGAGCAACACATTTTGCCGGAAACTTAATATAAATGGAATACATACATAAGATTTTCCACTGGGGCTGCCCCACCGTGGGCCAAAGGGGACCAGCTCCGCACGCGCACAACATCCCTAATTACACTGAAATTTTGCGTCACTAAACATAACATCACTAATTCACTAACTGTTATAGTCTTTATCACAGCGGTCATCATGGTCCCAATATTTATGATTCCGCGGCACATCACTAACATGCCTCTTTTTCTCCATCTCACCACTATTTCTCCTATTTAATCTCTGTCTGGATCCATTCTTGGACCGTTCGTCGAACTTCCTATCGTCACTCCTTTTATCATTAAATTTCGAATCATCACTGCGTTTATCATTAAAGTTAGTCTCTTCATATCGCATATCGTCATGCCTCTTATCATTAAAGTTGGTCTCGTCGAAGCGTTTTTCATTAAATTTAGGGTCATAATTATCAACAGACTTCTGCACTTCATTATTAACTTTCTCTGTTTGCACATTAACACTCATATTTTGTATGTATGTCCCGTCTCCTTGTTGCAAATAATAGTTTTCTGGATAAACCGGGAACTCTTGATAGTTTGGTGGTGGCACATTGGGGTTAAAAGTTGGCTCCTTTTCCTCCTGTCTCCATGAGTTCAAATCGTATCGCTTAGTTAAACTTGGCTTCCAATCAACATCGCTGCTAGGATCCGTATGCTCCTGTCTCAGTAGACCAGCTCCGGCCCCCAAGATCGGTCTCAATTTGGGTTTAGTATCATCTTCGATGCTCAAATTTATATTTTCCTTCTTCCAGGAGCCATATGACACCTCGGAGAAGTTATCATCGCTTGTCAGGTCCAAGTGAGAAGCGTAGAACTGTTGCAATGTGTTCGGTAATGGTAGGAATTTGTTTAAGCAGAGATCAGACGACAGAAGGAGCCAGATGATGCTTATAGGGGGTGGTGTCAGTAGTCTGAGACGTATGGATATTGATAATTCATCTAACTCTTGGGATAGTATAGAGAGGAGTTCTCGGCCATTTTGCATTAGCTGAAATTGAGAAACAAAATTAATTTATAACAGTTCTATGATTACTTTTGTATTAAAACCTTTTGTATTTCATGGGAAAGGTATTTTTATCATTATGATAGAGAAATCCGTAGGCGAACAGCAGGATACAGCAGTAATGAGCAAACTGATCAATATGGCAAAACAGAAATGTGTCGAATACTATTTTTAAGCTTAAGAAGACAGAAACGATATTTTGTGTTTTTAAACGTTAAGGGTCGGTTGGTGTGATGTGAAAAACGATGGGTGTCCGTTTCACATTTGGTAGGGAACGATATTTTGTATTTGTCAAGGTCGTCGGTTGGTGTGATGTGGGAAATGATGGGCATACCTGTGTAGCAAGACTCCGATGTGCCCTTATGTCATCTGACGCGAGTAGAGACCGCATATATTGAACCAACGGACCAGCCAAGATGTGGACTTTCTTCCCATTACAAAGACGAGCCTCTGAAATTAAAAAAAATATATATTATATAATTCTTAAAACCCGAGCGTAACATGATTTATAGTGACGTTCATTCTGAGCCGAGCGTAACATGAAAAGTTAATTTCCTTGTATTATCAGGTTTCAGGTTTAAGAATAACTTTATTTCTCATAAGAATTGAAAATTCACTTACTGAGAAACACATATTTAAAACTAAGATTAAAAATTAGAAATTAGAGCGCACAGATGTAGGTACATATATAAAATAAGAAAACAGAACAGCACCAAAAATGTGGGTAGACATAAAAAACTTGGTCAGTCAACCAAGCGAAACACGGATGTTAGAATTTAATTTTTTTCTAGATGTGGCATTGATGGCATAGTCTGATATAACAAGTTTATATTGATTATTTTATTATTTTTCATAAGACTATTTTATTTTTAGTTTATTCCTATATTTATATATTTAGGGTATGTACAAGGTTTATAAAACATTTTTACAAATTAAAATCACCTATAGGCAGATTTTGGTCAATATCAAATACAATTCTTTAACACAAAATAATCGGTTTACGAACGATAGTTAAACGTGAGAACGTAATAACAAGACATTGATGAAATGATTGAATACTTTTATGAAATGATTGCATAGTTTTATGAAATGATTGCATAGTTTTATGAAATGATTGCATAGTTTTATGAAATGATTGCATACTTTTATGAATAAAATTGAATCGCTTTTATTGACCACTCAAACTAAAAATATCTTTATTCAAATAGGTAAACAGTACTTGTTTACTTATGAACGTCAAAAAGAAGTTAAATTAATTGTAAATTTACATTTACTACCAGTTCGCAAGTCAAGGGCGTAGAGCGGGCAAGAAACTTTCCGCCACTTTTTTTAATCGCTAAGTTTTGAGTCATAAAAATAGTTTTTTTGTATGGATACAAAGAAGGAGTGAATCCTCGTAAGCATAGGCCAAGTGTGGAAGAGAGATAGATGCGGCGCAGGCATACAATAAGCGTAACGGGACAATGAGTCATGCTTTTTCGTGCTTGTAGCCGGCGTTCACCGATTTATTAGACATTGATCACGTCAAAAATATTAAAATTTACGAAAGCAAATACCTATATTATTTATATTTATTTATTATGCAAAATAATAATAATAAGTGCTAATAATTCAATTCAATTCATAAAACTATGCAATTTTTCATCAATGTAGAAAACACGTTATCACGTATAATTATCGTCCGTTAACCGCCTAATAACTTACCCGCAAAATAATCTCCCATCAGATTCGCAGCGTTGATCAAGTATAATGGATTCGCGCGTTCCAGCACTTCCAATTCTGAAAAACGTTTTAGAAATTTAAAACTGTTTATTGCTGTGCCCATTTGCTAATGAATATAAATCTACGCTCATTATTTTTAAACAAATAACATTGCAAATTGTTAGCTTTTAAAATTTATTTAATTTAAATCTAAACATTTTTTATGAAACATATTCTTCTGAAGAATCTTGCTACAAGTGCGCATGTGCAATAGTTACTCATTTGACCCGTTCGGTTGTTTACGAATTGACTCGAACAACTGCTCGAAGTGGGATGGTCGGGTCGGAGTAGGGAATAGATTATAAAAGAGGTTGTAACAGATGCGCACGGGCAATTCCTTTGTTCAAGTTTGAAGTTATACAATTTACGTTTTATAGTGAATAAAGTCATCATTGGAGTGTTTAATTTCCTACCCTAAGAACTAGATCAACTAGCCCTTACAAAATGAATATGATTCTACCCTCATTTTCAAACAAATAGTACCACCCATATTGCTTTACTTACTTGTGAATGTCGCCTGCATAATATTCAGCAAGGACGCCCTCAGCATCCCCTGCCTTTGTTGTCTTGTGAAGGCAGCCCCCACAGTGGCCAACTTCCTACTTGTCACTGAACTTTGTAATGCCGCAGCGCGAAATGTCGCGAATGCTTGTCTGGAATTTTTATAAAATTTAGAAGGAATCTGACTGTAAAAATTTTCAAATTGTGGGTAGACCAAAAAATATTGAAATTCCATCTGCGGTGCATTAAAAAACTTTCGAAGCCAGATTACGTATGTCTCCAGTCTCTTAATAGGCAAGTAGGCGATCAGCCTCCAGTGCCTGACACACGCCGTCGACTTTTTGCGTCTAAGACATGTCGGTTTCCTCACGATGTTTTCCTTCACCGTTCGAGCAAATGTAAATTGCGCACATCAAAACCGGTATTGCGATGTGCCGACCGTACATTGTGCAAAGAATTATTTTACGTTTTAAATCACTTTTAATATCCTTGTGAAAAAGAATGAATAAATAAATAACACTCACTGTAACCTCGCCTCGTCCGGACACAACTCCGTGACCGACGTCTCGAAATGTCTCAACTTCCTGTTAAACTGTATACCGTCTTCGCCCGGCGTAAACTGTTCGAGCTGAAACAATAAAAAAAGTAGGTCAACTTGACACTATGATAGTTTACTTTCATCAACTGTCACTGACAAATTACTCAATTCAACTGTCACTTTGACAATTTACTCAATTCAACTGTCACTTTGACAATTTACTCAATTCAACTGTCACTTTGACAATTTACTCAATTCAACTGTCACTTTGACAATTTACTCAATTCAACTGTCACTTTGACAATTTACTCAATTCAACTGTCACTTTGACAATTTACTCAATTCAACTGTCACTTTGACAATTTACTCAATTCTACTGTTTTGTTATAGTAACACCTCCTTGCGAACGTTGGTGATCAACATGGCCTAAAACTTAGCGATTAAAAAGAGTGGCGAAGAGTTTCGTGCCAGCTCTTCTTGCTTCTACACCCTTGACTTGCGAACTGGTAGTAAATGTAAATTTAGAAGCAATTTAACATCATTTCTGTTGACGTTCATAAGTGTAATTATATGAATAAAGTTATTTTGAATTTGAGTTTACTTTCATTTTGGATGCCGTCTGGACTGTCACTATGACAATTCACTTAATTCAACTGACAAATAACTTATTTACTTTTATTAAAAAACAGTAAATGTCACGCGTTAAAGCTTAACTTAATTTCTAACCAATTGTACCCCAAAGAGTTTACAACTCTCAAAAGACTCTCCTGAGCATATAAATGCACATGGGCATATAACTTATCATGTAATAACCTTGGCTCTTTGTATTATTTTTGGAAGATTACTTGATAAGCATTTAATAAGCAAGTAGCAAACTCACCAGTACTAATAAAGGTGCAAACTGTTCATCAACCTTCAGCATCGCCTGTAGGGCCTCTTCATCACCAGAGGTGTCCACTTCATCGTCAGGCTTCACCTCTGAAATCATTGCCACCGTTGTTTTAGCTGGAATGCAATGTATTATTTAATATTAAAAAAATCGATTATGTCTTTCTTTTTTATAGAACAGGGAAAAACATTCAGAAGGCTCTGATGAAATGTGCTATGTCCATGGACACACACTGCCAGAAAAGTGCGTTGCCGGCTTTTCAAGAATTTTTTTTTTATGTAATAGAAGGCAAACGGGCAAGAGGCTCATCTGATGTTTAGTAATACCACCGCCCATGGACACTCACACTGCCAGAGGGCTCGGAAGTGCGTCGCCGGCTTTTTAATAATTGGCACGCTCTTGAAGGACCCTAAGTTGAATTGGTTCTGTAATTCTTCAGTGGGCAGCTGGATCCACAGGTGGTGTGCGGTGAAAACTGCCTTAAACAAACGCACAGTTGTGGATGGACGTCGAGGTGATACTGATGGTATTCTGTATTCTGCCTTGACGTCCGATAATGAAACTCAGCTGCAGGTATTAATCCAAAGAACTCCTCCGAACACCATCAATGGTATTTACTATTTACCATATAGCGGTAGAATATGCCGAGTGACCCCACATCTCTACCGTCTACGCAATGTCAAGGGATCAGGCTGCTCAATAAATCTTAAGCTTCATAAATCCGACTTTGAATTTTGGACATCATCAACGCCACAAACAGGTCGTCGACCTTTGAAGGAATGGTACTCTCAAAGGTTTCCTACGTGGTATAGCAGCTGGTTCGACAAAGAGGTTATCAAGAGACCACGAACTCGTGAACAGTTTGTGACTGATGGAAACCTTCAACAAAACAGGTTTGTTGCCGGCCTCTGAAGGAATGGTACTTTTAAAGGTCCCTACGTGGTATTGGTTGGTTCGAGAAATAGGTTGTGAAACCTGAACTTCATGATCAGTTTCTACTTTGTCCTACAATCAACCTTTTAACTCATATCTGATTGTCGTGATCTGCAAGGAAACATCCGGAGCGGACAATCTCTTTCCACCGTTTTCTGTCCAGCGCCTCTCTTATTGTCTAGTTTTGAGGATCAGTCTTTCAAAAAACACTTAATCCTCCTTCTTGTACATTACGGACAATAAGAGCAATAGGAATAATAGGACGATGCACCATTCATCTAGCTAAAGCTTAACGTGGGGGGTTTTAGAATAAATTAAAAAGCTATCAGGAGCTACTAGGAGATATTTCCTCTTCTTTTGGCCACAGCTCGGGCTGTTTTGGCTAGTGTAGTCTCCCGCGAGACTCGGACCTCGGCGTAGACGCTGGGTTGCTTGAAGGGCATTGACAGCTCGAGCTGTTTTAGCGTAGATTGGGGTTTTCCACGACTACATCTGGACGTCGAGGATGGGTTGCCGGACGGAAGCTCTTTGGAAGTACAAAGTGTACTATCAATCAATCAAATCAAAATACGTTTATTCGGTTTAGATGCGTCTTAGGGCATGCTTATGAATGTCAATAATGTTTACATAATTCGCGAAAGAGCAAGACTACGCCATCCGTTCGCAAAACACCAGGAGGCCTTGTTCTGAGAAGAACGGGCCAGAAACTCAGCAAGTTTTACCCACGTCTGTATTACAATTATTCAAAGGAAAATTACTTAAAACTGGAAGGCAATTTACTAAATATTTGTGCCCCTTGGTACATTATTTGTATATTGTTTTGGTTGGGATTTATTTTGATTCCATAAAATATCACGATTGTTAATTATATTTTTATTTATCCAATCAGTTTTAGGTGGATTTATAATTTTGATTTGTCGAATCTTGCTGTCGTTAATGTTTTTAAATATTAATTTTTTATGTGATTAAAGTTTAAAATACATTTTGATACATAAAAATAAAATTTGACATTCCACCACCTGTAGTGTTTTTTCTAAAGTTATAGTGATGTACTTTTAACTCATTTTTGTGTAATGTATGTGAATATACTTCTAAATGAGTTCAGTATACATTTAAGTTCATCAAACTTTCCTTGCCCTACAATACTTCAAGCATTTAAGTATAAGAATTTTAATGAACTTTTTGTGGAATATATTTCTGTACCTGCCCTGCGATTCTGTAACTCACTTTTCGAAATACAATAAACAAGCTCTTACCTTTTCAGAATGCCAAATCATAAAATGACTGCTTCACGACTGATTTGAGAGCGACCGCCGATGCGAAAACCGCTCAGTGAGTTCGAAAAGTGAGTTACAGAACGCAGGGCTGGGTTTGTAAGTTGGTAGTAAATTGCCTATTACTTTTTATTCTATCTGTATGAACGTTTAAATGATGAGCAGTGTTGGCCTAGTGGCTTCAGCGTGCGACTCTCATACCTGAGGTCGTAGATTCGTTCCCCGGCTGTGCACCAATGGACTTTCTATGTGCGCAATTAACGGTGAAGGAAAACATCGTGAGGAAACCGACATGTCTTAGACACAAAAAGTCGACGGCATGTGTCAGGCACTGGAGACTGATCACCTTTATTTTATGAACGTTTAAAGGACTGTATTGCAGCCAATGGAGACCACTTCGCATAAGCTTTTTGTATTTTAAATTGTTTAATATTTATGTATTCAACTAACACACTGTAAAAGTAAGAAATATTATTCGCAATAGAAAAAATATTTTTTTTCTTTGTTCAGTATTTATGGCAAGTATTTATACCTAGTATCAGATAAAAATGAATTGCAAAACATATCGCTAAGCGCAACTCGAGTAATTGTTGGATCAATTCGAGTAATTGTTATGAACCTTGAACTATGAGGAAGGTTTAAACGGAAAGAAAAATTGAAAAACACGGAAAATACCTAAAAACCAGTTTTCATTCCGGAAAAGCCTACTCTATGGAGTAGCATAGCAAAATGTTCTATATGTTAGATATGTAGCTACTTAAATTTAGGTAAAAATTCATATAAAGGCGAAACGACGGTCGAGTTCAGCTAGTTCAACATAAGATTATACGTAGATTCCTGATACACACCTGTTGATCGTGGAGTCAACTCTGCCAGAGTCCTTGCAGCATTCATGTCTTCTGGGTCCTCTCCTGGCTTTGTCTCCCTCAAATGATGTCTACCGGTGTAGCCCCTACCACGACCGCTTGACATTCTAATCTGAAAATTTTAGATTTAGTTCTTTGAAATCACTATTCTCACTCTCGTACCAAGGGTTATGGTGTAAAGCGGTCACGTGACCATAAAAACTATATTTCCATTAAACATACTATCTCTAAAGGTAAACCACTAAACAATATTTTTAACGCTTTCTTATTCTTAGTTTTGTTTTTTGTACCTAAAACACTCAGGAATAAATTTTAACCTCATTTGGAGAAGGATAACCCGTGCCGATAATACGTATTATTAATTAATTTAATAATGAATTAATAATCTGAAAGAAGCAATAAAGAAAGTTTTTTTTTTTGACGTGATCTATTAAATAACAGGAGCAAAGCTACCGTCTAACCGTCAAGTTCTTACCATTCGCTTAATGAAAGCGCATCCCTACCAGAACTATCCCTAACTGTGTAAAAAACTGGATCTTCACTATGTTTGGAGAGAGTTGCAAACTATCTACAAAATCAGATTTTCAGAATAATTTGCCTGAAACTGTGACCGGTCACTGGGATGGGAAATTATTACCTGGACTGGACTAAAGAAGTTCTAAATGAATGCCTGCCAATCCTTTGGTCATTTGGAGAAAAGGAACAACTTTTGGCAGTGCTCAAGCTGGAGAGCACATCTGGTCAAGAACCAGCTAAAAAAACTGTGCTAAACGTTCTTTATGACTGGAACCTCGAAGACAAGTACAAATAATGTGCTGTGATACAACTGAATCTAATACAGGGATTAAAAGGAGGTTGTGTACTTTTGGAACAAAATCTAGGGAAAAAGGCTTAGGGAATATAAAACTATTAACAATGAGATGTTCAAAGCAGCCCTGAGAATGTTTAGTCAATATCTTAGGTATTTGTCAGAAGAAATTACTATTTTATCACTCTTTGATGAAGTAACCAAGAGGAGTATCGTAGAGAACTTACAAAGACAGAGTTAGTATGATTGTGGGAATATATACATTCCATCGAAAGAAGATATGTTTGATTATTTGTATGGTAAGAGGGAATACATAGTTTTATGTTAGAGTTAACTATTAATCATTTATTTATAAAAAATTACATGGAAAAGGAGCTTATTCTAAGCCTACTTTACAACAGCTGTCCAGAGCAGAAATTTATTTTCTCGTTTAAAAATTGATGAAACTTCTTGAAGTATTTCTACCCTATTTCTAGGTTGCAAGAGGTTGCCTATTTACAGGCAAAAAGAAGAGTTCTTTCTTTATAGGCAGTGAATGATACAGCTAAAAAAGCTGTAAAACTTATGCAAGATTTTCATGGTTTAATCATTGCAAAGGAAGAACAAACACCGTTTTTACTTCGCTGTGTGCAAGAAATCTATATCCAGACTGTAAAAAAGAGAACCTCAAAAGAAAATATCCTTGCGAATGTGTAATTTTATGTACTTTTAATTAATAAATACCTATTTCCTTACTTTAGTATTTATTATTATTTTTAAAACATATAAATAAAATATAATTAGGTCAATGGCGAAAAGGGTTAAAGGCAGCAATTTCAAAATCTTCACGACCTTGTCGGCATGGTTTAATGTGGACATAGGAAGATAAAATTTTGTATCTAAGTTAAGGTCTAGGTAGTTTAAAAAGAATTAAGGGATATGCATTGCGAAATTTGAAAAAAGAAGATTTTTGCTCCCATATAAGGGACACCATCATCACAATTTCATCTGGATCTTGTGATCTTACTCCATTTCACCAATCTTTTTTTCATGTCATTGTTTGACTGGTTACATAAATAATTTGTTTTATTGACATACAGTTTTGACTATAATCTGGATAAGATTTAAAGTCAAAACCGTATGTCAACATCTATATTTATGACAACTTTTGGATCATGACATATGGGCAATTAAGCTCGTTTTAAGTTTTGATTTTGAAACTTGCTGAGTTACTGAATAGGCCTGCTAAAACTTTGGTACTACTAAATAAATGTAGTACCACAAAAAGGTGCATACATCACAGATAAGACAGACAAGATACATAAATGGGACAGAATTAATTTTAATTAATAAATATTAGTTTAATAACAAAATTGTTACATCTAACACTCTAACACTAGGCTTACCAAGTATAACTAGTCAAAAATAAATCTAAATGTGCTACTAAATAATGAACAAACAATTAATATTAATAGACAATATTTTTAAGACAGAATAAATTCAATGGCATAGTTTGACTAAAACTATCTATACTAATAATATACAGAGAAAATATTTGTATTTTTGTATGGTTATATTAAATAAAAATACAGGCAATTTCAAGTATTCTTTCACCATTTGTATTCTACATTATCCCGGAGAAACATAACCTATATATGTATTTCCAAAATAATTAGAAGCCTATCCGAGAGCCAAATATATCCATGGCCAAATGGAATAATCAAAGTATGCATTTGTTATTAACTACACATTGTATTCACACTTAAGGTATAATTGCTGTCATGTTTTGAATTTAAATTTATTAGCATGGTACATTTAAACAATAGGGTCAAAGCTAATGGTTAAACATGAGATGCCCAACCCATCTAACCCATCTCTATGCTAATGGAAAAGCATTATTTAATGTGACTCTTTTAAAGTAAAGGAAGAGTGTGAACAGGACCAACTGCTTACCAGACACAGAAAATTAATAATCCATGCAATAGAATATTTATTTTTACAAGAACAACTCTATAAAACTACAGATGAAGAAAAATATTGCCAATTGAAGGGAAAGTCACACTAGATTTATAAATTATTCAGTGGTCTAAGTAGTATTAGAAGCAGGAAATTGTTATGCATTATATATGCGTTGAGTCATTGAGACCAGCTCAATTCTCAATAAAACCTGTTATGCTTAGAACTTGAGTTAATTAGTAAATTTTACCTTTTTTAATGTTTTATGGCATAAATACCTGCCCCTATCAAAATTTGCTCAGCTGTTCATGCGTGTAGTCATAGCAATTCTTTTTAGGATTAGTATTACTAGCTTACTGTATTGCGAATACTGTTTCAAGACAATTTTCTAACTGCGCAGTTCCATAAGAACAATAATATTACTTGTTTATCACATAAATCAATGCAATATCTTTTAGATAACTTGCATAAACACGTAGATATTTATACAAATACGAACAACAAACGGAAAATGACAACGCTGAAACGTCATTGTAGGTCAATGGACCGTTTTGAAGATCACTTTACAGGGGCTTAATAAACCTCTGAAAGGTTTTAAAAGTATTCCGGATAATTTATTTATGATAATTTTGCAATTTTATGACATTTAAATTTATAATGCCGGCAGAAAGATGGGGATTGTTAGATACGTGTTATTTTTAATTTAGAAATAACATATGTCATGAAATAGATTCAGAATTATGTAATTTTTTGAACTTATATTCAATAAAGTAAAAACTTACCAATTTATGATTACAAAAACAACTTTGTTTTATTTATAAGTTATTTCGTGAGCGGTTGACAAGCATTTCTCTACCATATTTGATAGAGATGTACAATTATGAAAACCGATTAGGAAGACTAACTTTATACCACAGGTAAAAAATTTGTTACCGATGTGAAATGATAAATGAAGACGACGAAAGAAAAGTCAATGTATCGATTTGCAGTCCGTCTAGTATGAAATAGTATTTTTTTAAGATAAATGAAAATAATTAAAACTCCTTTATTTGTTTAAAAGGTACTACAAATGTCATTATGGTCATTCAATAGCTAGCGTAAGCATAGCTGCTTACGTCACGCATATTCTATTCCTTTTTACTTGTAGATTGTCTTATTCCCATCTCGCTCGAGCACGCTCGGCGCCCATACTGATAAATTTGTGTCACGGTGCGCGCGCATCGTAAAATTTCACTCTCATAAATTTTTCATAACGCGCCTAAAGAAGTATAACTTCACAATTAACATTAATTCATTAAAAAAATCTAAAAAATTTGTATAGGTATAGAGTAATTTTGTAAATTCAGTTACAATTCAATTACTCTGAAGTAGCAAAAATAAAATTACACCTAATTAGATTAAATTGCATAGCCGTTATAGTTCAATGGCTCGTTACAATATGTCTTAAGAAAGTTGTGACTGATAAGTAAATAAAACGCAGTCATTTATTTTAAATAAACGTTTAATGTCGTAACGGTATATATCTCTTCACATACCTTCATGACACATAATACCTATGTGTAAACTCATCGGCAGCGCTTAGAAGATTTAAAAAGTGTAGGTATAAGCATAATCTAGTGGTACTACTAAAACTAACAAATATAAGTATCATTATTTAAAAATAAAATTTTGTTATTATTATTTACCTTACTAAGGTTAGGTTGTCGATAAGCTCACTTCTACACAGCTCTAATAAAAGGTCACGGTTTGCCTCATAGTTTTGTTGTTTGTATACGTTAAGAATACAAACATAAATCACAGTAAAAAGGGTTCAAAATAGTGCAGTGTCCTTATAGTTGTATTGTGAATGGGTGTTTAAAATTTGCCTTTGATAGCTTTTGATCAGGCATAAATGGGCTATTTTATAATTTTTTTTAAACTATTCAGATTATTTATTAGTTACCACAGAACCGATAAAAAAAATGATGTTTTCCATTTTGTTAAGTTTTTGGTTTTAAAATTAAATATTGTTAATTTCAAGAGCCCACTAAAACACTAATTGCTTATGCTTTAGTGAAGGGTACCTTGTGAGGTACCTTAGTTGAAAAGACGTGTTATTTACGTGTTTATTATCATTGTCAAATTACAACAATACTCATATATTATATTTCAAACAAAAACAGTTTCCGACAGATGACCCTCCAGGACAGTATTATTAATAGACAGGCGAAGACATACAATGCACATTAAAACATCCATATTTATGTCGAATAGCATATATATCTGAGAACCGGCTAGTCATTATGATAACCGGTAAACCGATGTACTTTAATACCGGGGACAACACTTGAAAAATCGAATTTGACATTTCAAAGCTGGCGGGGGGATATATTTTCGGTTTGCACATTCGGGAATGAGAAATAATGTTTTTAATTTTATAGATAGGAGAAGTGTTTCCGTGCATCTATTTAATATCAGCATAAATCTTCATAGATAATAGTATTGATATCTAACAATTGTTTGAACCAACGCACTAACATAACGAAATAATAATCACTGCGAGTGCGATATTTTTAAATTTATATTTTATTTCATAACAAATGGACGACTACATTCTGTTTTATATCTATTTCGGTTTGATCTTCAGATATAATTTTTTAAAGTGTTAAGTGTATATAAGCGAAAACCATAGAAATGTCTGAAGGGCACGGTGAACCAAATATGTTACGAAAGGAAAGTGTAGTGAACGCGAACGTTCCCACTGACAGTCCTATAACAGATCCTGGTCAAGTAAGAGGTGGAAACACTGATGGAAATGCTGGAAAATTCGAAGGGCAACGCGTCAAATCAGGTGCTTTAAAGAAGGCAGCGCGTTATCGAAGCAGATCACTCTCGGCCTCTTCTGCGGATTCATATAGCTCTACTTCCTATACTGGTAAGTAATAGTTTATTTTAATTACTTTAATTTTTAATATAATAATAATAGCCTTTATTCAGATACATTTAAATTGACAATTACATTTACATTTAAACAAATTTCCATTTTAATCCTCTTCTAGTGTATCTGTGTGCCCTTTTTTGGCAAAGGCTTCCTCCAAATACCGCCATTCCTCTCTTCACTGTGCCTTGTACCACCTGCTGTTTCATTAACCTGATGGTCTATCAACCTTCTGAGATGTCTCCCTCTTTTTCAATTGCTGTACCTTGGGCACCAGTTTAATAGCTTTTTGCTCCACTTTTCTGTTCCTCTTGCCATTTACCCAGCCCATTTCCACTTTAGTTTATTTATTGTTTTTGTAACATCTGTTTTTTTAGTTATTTTTAACCTTAGTTATTTTTCTTAACTCTGTATTCATTATTTTGTCTCTTCTTTTCTTCCCTATCATGCATTGTTCCATCGCTCGTTGACACACCTGTAGCTTTGTATAATGTGCTTTAGTAGGCGCCCAAGTTTGTGATCCATATGGTAGTATACAAGTAGTGAAGAGCTTTTTTTAATAACGATGCTTGTTTTCTTATTTTTCACGACTTCTTTAAGTGCCCAAAAGCTCTTCCATGCTTATGCTATTCTTGTGTTGATTTCTTTTATTGTTGAATACGTCATATATATTGTCTGACTGAGATACGAGTATTCAGCTATGTATTCTATAATACTGTTATTCAACAGTAGTATTTCCTTTCTGGAATTGGACATTACTTTGGTTTTCTCAGTATTCATTCTAAGACAGACAAACCTGTTTTCCATGTAAAGGTCTGTGACCATCTTCTCCAGCTCATCGCTTGTTGAGCGTATATTCTATCGGCAAATAGAATCAGATCGTCGGCAAATAGAATCAGATTGTCTGCAAACCTTTTTAGTTTTTTGAATATTTCCTCCAGCACAACCAAAACAGTTTAGGTGACAAAGGGTCTCCCTGTCTCACTCCTCGTCATATATCTATAATCCCTCCTAATTTATCCATTTTTATTCTAGTTTTTCCATTTTTATATATGTATAAAAGTATGACTGCAAGGCTTGCCATATTTTTTCATGTTCCAGATAGTCAAACACCTTAGAATAATCAACAGAGCATAAGTAGATTGGGTGATTATATTCTTTGCTTTTTTCTAGGATTTGCGTTACTACAAAGATTTTATGATAACTAATTATTATCATGGAACTTTGTGGTCAATGTATTCTTGCCTAAACAAATATGTCAACTCTTTTCTGTACTGTGAAATAGTGTTCACTGCAGGTAATACAATACATGATTCACTAACCACTGTGTAGCATGTCAGTGAGGTAAAGGACTAGAATAATTATTAATTAAAAAAATTGTACTTTAAAACAAAACATTTACAAGGACAGCTTTGCAGATTTAGGTGGTGGCACATTCAGTGATTAGGGTTTTATTCAATCAAATCAAATCAAAATACGTTTATTCAATTTAGATGCGTCTTAGCGCATGCTTATGAATGTCAAAAACGTTTACAAAATTCGCGAAAGAGCAAGCCTACGCCATCCGTTCGCAAAACTACCAGGAGGCCTTGTTCTGAGAAGAACGGGCAAGAAACTCAGCAAGTTTTACCCTCCCTCTACATTACAATTATTCAAAGGAAAATGTCATTAACCACAACGTCAGGTTACATGAGTAAAAAAAAATATAAAAATCTGTTCTGTGATTTACCACATTCACCATTACACACAAATCAAATTATAAGAATATTATGTTATGTAATAGACAATTATGAAATATATATATTGCTGGTTGTATCCATACAATGTGGTACCTGCACCTAAATCTTGATCTAAATCTGTTGCATGACAAGCTACTGGGCTAACACAGCTCAAGAATAGTCAGCATACATGTGACTTAGTATGCATAGCAATATGTGAAAGTTACATCGAGTGTGTCAGTCAACTTCTGACTTCAATTGATAAACATTATTATTACACTATATAATATCCCTCTTATCCATTAAACAAAATATATCTATTTGTGCTCTTTGAGCAGAAGTACTGTGATGAATAGAGTCAGATTTTTGTGTATGACCATTATTTGATACCTGACATAAAACACACTACAGACTACAGAATTTAAATAAAATTATAACAATAAAACAAATGTTAACAATAATAAAATTACAGTATTATTGATTACTTCCATAGATATCAATAATTATAAAAGAGTGAGCGTTTGGTGGACTAGGGCCGGGGTCGTTCAATATAACTTTCTTAAATCTGGCCAGACGATTAACAACTGCAAACCATGATGGAAAAACTACACAACAGACTTCTTCTACTATTAGAGGAGCTTCAATTGGAATATCTAAGACATCATACTCCACAAACTCTCCAACAGGTTACCATTTTTTCCAAATTTGGATAACTTGCACAATCTTCAACTCTGATGGGGCAGTCGAAACTGCTTTCAAAGGTTTTATTGATTCCCATCTGAATGGTTTTTTTAGTTAAGGAATTAATGAACTACCACATCTAACATTTTATAGATGGCAAATGTGCATAGATTGCAATAGTACATACTTTGATTAATATTCGTATATTAATTAAGGACCTAATATTATTGCCGATTATTGATTAAGTTTTCAGCCTAAATCAATTATTGAGTTTTTAATTAAATAATCAATAGTCTGTACATAATACAAGTATAATAATTATTTAAAAAAAAACTAAATGTTTTGTTCAGAGAGTATCATGAATGCTGGCATTTTGCTGCTACTTATTTGGCAGGAAAGCACCAGATCTGGGGTCACCTACCAGAAGCTAACTTATCTTTTATTAGCTGTGTATTTGAACACCTTAAGAGTATACTGCAAAGGGAACTAAATCAAAGTTTTTTGTTCATAATAATAACACAGCTTTATTTTATTTCATAAACATACAAATAATGCGATGCAAGACATGAACAGTAAGTTTCATTGGCAACAAGGCATTCCACAATTTTAATTTTGCATTCTCCAGCCCTCTGGTACAAGGCCATTTTACTAGTCTTTGTATCCTGGCCACTTGTCCAGCCCATTTCCATGTTTCTTTGACGGGAGACAATCTCCTATTTGAACAGTGTTATTATTATGAAAAGCATAGCGTGAGGTTTTCTTTGTAAATATTTTAAGTATTCACTCGAGAGAGTTCTTCATCCCTGAGGTTGTATTTGAATCACTGCTGTGCCGAACTATATTTATTTAATATTCTGTCCGAGTTGAGGGCCAGGCTGATAACCTATGTGAAAAATGATACATGTAGCACAATATTCCTAAAATATAATATGGAAATCAATGTAGGTCATTTAGACATTACAGTGTTCATGTTATTTATAACTCCTGAAAATACTCCAGATATATAGTAATGTACTTGTCAGAGGAACTTATGTCTGAAATGTTTTTGAAGTGAAACTAGTGAGAAAGACAGAGTAAGGGAGATCGAGAAAAAATACATGCTATTGGTTGATGTATTCGTTTAGTTACATATTAGAACTTTAGATGGCAATTCTGTCGCATAACGTCATGTACAGTAAATTTTTTTATTTATTGATATTATCATTAGCACGTATACAGTGTGTAAACAGTGTGGATATAGATATACAAATACACGGAGTGAATATACTGGTAGATGATCATCTATTGGGGCTTTTACCTTAGTGATAATTAATTTCCAAAGAAGTTTCACTTCTGACATGTGTACTTTGTACGCACGCACTTTTTTTTTCTTAGTGGCAGTGTCCGTAACCCTGGGGTTGTGTGTTCATAGCACCAGGGTACCGATGGATGTACTTCTGAGAAATTGAAATGAATTGGCGACGGTCCCAATGTACAAAGCGACATGTCAAAAATAGAGGTTTTCAGGAGAGTGTAATGAGTGTTTTAATCTCTCAGAAATTAATCTATTCACTTTTTCATAATATTTTTTTTCTGAAATGATTTAAAAGATATTTTAAGCTTATGATTCTATTAACCATTTCGTCGCTGTAAAATAAAGTAAAGTAAAAAATCATTTAATCATATAGGTAACATTTTTTTATTTATTTTATTTATTTATTACCGAAATACATACATTATCCTTACAGACTATGCCAATACGATAATGTCGTGAAACATTAAATAAAATATAATAAAGTAGGTACATATATAATATTAAACACTGACTGTACTGAATTAAAATAATTATAATAATAATTTTTATTAATAAAAAATCATTTTTAACTAAATAGAATACGTTTAGTTTTCAATTATCATCCTATCTACTTTTTCAAACAGACACAATTAAATAGGAATCTAAAATAGAAAATAACGGTGCATTTAATGCTTCACAATCAACTATTCTAAAAAGAGATTAAACTATTATAACATTTTATTTATCTGAAGATATAACTAATCCAACTATCATTACAGCTTGATTCAGACTGATTAGTATTATTATTTAATTTATAAAATAAAATAAAAATCATTTAATTCAGACCATTAAAAAGTCCATATATTGTTAGTAAAGTAATACTATTAACTATGTTAGTAAAATTAAAATTAAAATTAGCAAAATTATTCAAGACACAAAGAAGAATACATTTAATTCATATATCTACGTTGATTCGAGGCACCAGGCACATGGGCATGTATATGAACCCAATGCCTCAAAACAGCACGTTCGGGTTTACCTATAACCATCAGGACATTGTTAGTACTCGCACGAACCCCACGTATCAGTGAGGCTGTCCGTTATAAACTATTTATTATTATTTTTTCAACATAAAAATAAAAATAAAATTAACTAGTTTTTAAGTTATCTAATTAATCATATACGTCATCACCCTGGACTTCCTGAGTAAGATTCAGGTTTTTATAAAATTCATGATACTTTTGTGGAATTATCATTGTCACACAAAGTAATCAAGTCCTTGTACTTGTGCTTCAGTTATCGCAATTGGCTGTTTGTATAACTTCTCTAGTAT